TTTACTCAAAGTCAGCTCGTGTACACCCTTATGCACATCAATCAAACTTTTAATATCATATAAATTTTATTATTACCCAAATTTTAAAAGTAAAATACATGTTTTCATGCATCACATATATATAGAGGTTAGATACATAAATTCATAAGAATTGTGTGGCACATATGCAAATAGCCCAATAAATGACATAATTCATATCGTAGCCTTATGAAAAAAAACCAAGCTTTCGCCATTGTAGTTCCATCAAATCATTCGGGATTACACATTTTCATTTTGATTTGACAACATGAATTAGGCGAAACATAAGTATCGTCAATACCTATATCTTTTCAATATTTGTAAGATGTAAAGCTTATAAATAAATTTATTTTTTATGCTTTTATTTAACGGCTAGTAAGCTTCTAATGGTCCATTAATTTAGTTTGTGATAATGCCTTTTACAAGAGATCTCTTATTGGCCAAGAATTTGACGAAAATTTAGATCATTCATTTATCATTAGAAACGTGTTTTGAATATATTAACTCCATTTTATGTTCATAATTTGTCATTAAAAGTTAATATCATCATGATGACAAACAAATTAAAAAATAAATATTTGCAACAAAATTAAAATAATTTTATTTATTTTCATAATTAAATGTAAGGAAAAAATTAGTCCAAGAAGATTTATTTTTAATAATTTTAATTATTAAATTTATTAAGTGAATTAAAATGTATCTCGATAAAATCACATGTCTTGATTTTTATAGTAAAAAAATTATTGAATGAATGTTGTGATATGAATTACTAAATAGATGACTCAAATTTAAAAATCTTCCCTAATTACCATGAAAAAGATTCTTTTATTATCTCCTTTAATTCCCAAATAAGGATGTTCATGGCACCTCAATATTTACACGTATAATTAAATTGTATAGAGAATAGCATTATTATTAATTCATAAAAATAATATAACTAAAATATTATATAACTAGATCTAAAAAAGTATATCATTGATATAATCTACATATTTTACTGAATAAATTTCTACAAATTCTAATAGATAATATATATTATTAATATTAAAATCATCACCGGAAAAAGCTTGCAAGGTTCCGGAATCGACAGGCAGATTCCAGTCCAGATTCCCGCACACCCACTTGCAAACCAACTCTCAATGGCCGCACTAATAATATCACTCGTCAGCATCCATTAATTCTGCATCACGATTCGTGTTCAGAAATGCCACTAATCCTGCACGAATCTTACACAAAATCCAACGCTGCAGAACCAAAATGTTACACATTTCCCCACGGCAATAGCTTTTATAAGATTTATTCACACGTGGCCTCCACAGCACAGCTGAATCTCCCCCCGGACTCCAACCCCTCCCCAAAATTCCATTTCACGAACCTTCCTCACGTCCGGGAATATTCCCCCCTTCTATAAATTCGAAGTTCATCTTTCTCCCAGCAACAGCAAATCTCAGCCATCCAATCACAAAAGAAGGAATGGGTGGCTGGGCTATAGTGGTACACGGCGGCGCCGGCGTCGACCCGAGATTGCCGGAGGAACGTCAGGCGGCGGCGAAGCGTATTTTGGCTCGGTGCCTTGAGATAGGCGCTGCGGCGCTGAGCGCCGGAGCAGCGGCCGTCGACGTGGTTGAAATGGTGGTGAGGGAATTGGAGACGGACCCGTTCTTCAATTCGGGCCGCGGGTCGGCCCTGACTGCCCGAGGGACGGTGGAAATGGAGGCGAGTATAATGGACGGTCGTGATCGACGATGCGGGGCCGTGTCGGGAATCACGACCGTTAAAAATCCCATTACGCTCGCTCGCCGGGTTATGGACTTCTCACCGCACTCTTGCCAGGCCATTCATGGCGCCGAGGAGTGTGCCGTCGAGCAGGTAAGGGAA